TGAATATGTAGCAACTTTCATGTGTATGAATGAGCCATTGACACCTAGCCACATCCACCCCCCCTTTTATGCCGCTGATGGGGATGTATCTGTTAATCAAATTACCATGCGAAAGCGATTTGAATACGCGCTAATGCGGCTATTTAGAATGTGAATAGCAATCTTCGGGTGAGAGCGGTACTACACGCCCCCGATGCAGGTAAAACAAAGTAAGATGACATGGTTTACTTTTTTGCCGAATTAACCTAATTAAAAAAACTTTAATACTTCCGACAATGGACGTTTTGAAAAGAACACAGATTACGGATTTAGCCAGCGTTTTTTTCATGATTCTATATTAAGATTTCAGCAAGATATAAACTGAAATAGACGCGAAAAGTACGCGATGTCGCAGACGACATACTCGACCCCAGAGAGTTAAGTTTCAGCTTGATGAACTAAGACACCAAATAAGGCCTGTGATGGACGAGAGACCAAACTGAGAGATACCTTCTCTTCCTCCATTGCTAACCTATGCAGGGTTTCTGTGTCCATGGCAACGCCTTTTTCCTCCACCATCAGGCTGATGAGGTCGAGGGGAAAACCCAGGTTGCGATGCAGGGACCAGGCGATGGATCCTGAGGGAAGCTGGGGTTAGAGTAATGCAGTGCACAGCGGGAAGAGCGCGTCGAAGGCCGAGATTAACCTGGGAACAGCCGAGCCCCGTCCATCCTCCACAGGGTTCTGTCGATGACACGCCGGCCCTGGCTCAGCGAGGACAGAAACTGGGCCTCATTCTCATTGATGACGTCCATGATCTGGGAACAAACAATGTTTCGATACGAGTTTTTGTGATCATGAGACGCCCAGTTACAGTACAGCATCATCTTCTCTGTCTGCATCACCTTACCGTCTCTGTCTCTTTGGCCACTTCAGGATAAGCATCACCCTTTCGGTGAAGAAACAGTCACAATAACAGGGCATTAGACACCCGATTACATAACAATCGATAAATTGACTAGTCAATCAAATTCGCAAAAATGAATACATGAAGGGTTGGGTGCTATGACGATAATATCAATAACTGACTCTTTGTATGGTACGCAAAGGTATCAATGTACGCAAAATATTAGTCATTATCGTGGCAGGCAGCTAGGGTTTACTGTAAGTTTGTGAAGCACGACTTTAGATGGTTTTACAGTCCATGACATGTCTGTAAATCATAATGAAATCCTGCTCGCCGATTAATCGATTCCCACAGAGACTAAAAACGATCAGCACTGCTCATTACCACCATCCCCCATTCAGGTACCTGAAGATCTTAGTAACTCCCATTTAGCGGTTCACTGCTATAGAATCTTCTTTACAAAACTGGTTTGAAATGATATTAAGTGGTGTTAAAGGTCACACTTACAAGGATGTGGGCCACTGTGGGCACAAGTCTAGCCAGAGACCCCGGGGGAGACTGGAGCACCTCGATGGAGAACCGTACAGCCCGGCGCAAAATCCGCCGCAGGACCAGTCTGTTAACCATGTGCGGCGGGCACGCGCGCACACACACACACACACACAAAGATAGATTTATCTCCTCAGCAAACACCCGGAGGCACAGCCTCAAAGCTAAAATGACAGATATACTCACTCAGCTCCTGACATCCCTGGATATACTCCATCAGCAATGCAAACTGTCAGAGCGCGGATGTGGTCGGCGATAACACGGTACGCCATGTCCACCCCTGACACGTCTGACTCCCCAGTCTGGCCACGGTATTCTGGGCATTTGGAGCACTGAGGTGAAAGCGACAGGAAGAACAATCTGAACTGTGATCTTACAGGAGAATGACAGCTGACAAGGCTCATGCAGTCTAGTTAACATGCAAATAAACTACATTTCCCATGATTCAACACACCCACTGCAGCAATGCCATATACACAGGCATGGGACTACAGACTCAAGTAGCTTGGCTAACCCAACGTATCCGGACAAGGAGTACATGGAAAAACACCAGCACAAACAGGAAGGAACATACAAACTCCATTTCAGATGGTTGTTGTTAGTCTGGATATAAAGGCAGATTTAGATGAAAGTGTGGTGCATGCAGCATAATTGAGTGCTAACACCTGGTGGATGGAGGCCAGCAGGGGTGTGAAGAGGTCAGTGTCGTAGTTGGAGCGGTGGTCCTGCAGGACGGCCAGCAGCCGCTCCAGGCCCATGCCAGTGTCCACACTGAGCTGGGGCAGTGCACACAGGCTCCCATCGGCCTCCCTGCAAGGCAAACAACATCCAGCAGCACGAGGTGAGCTGCCTAAACACAGGTGCCCTTCCAGACAGCAAGCAGACCTGGCAGCTCTCATACCAGCTCCGCCTACCCCAGCTCTGTCCCGACCAGAGTGGAATTTGCTACCGATCAGCACATTTTCTCTGATGCAGAAACATTCACCTAAACGCCAAATCGAAGCGGAGCAGCTGTCCTTGGTGCCAATTGGCCTCTAGTGTGACAGGATGATGACGCCACCCAGACTCCATCCTGATTCACTGTAGGGATTAGCCCACATGGTGCTTTAAGAGCATCATCCAGTAAGGACACGTGTCAACGGATGCCAGAAGCAGGGCGGGGTCACCGCTCTCCTACCTGTTGTACTGCATGAAGACCAAGTTCCAGATCTCCACCACATCTGCGCTGTCCCCATTGACCAGGCAGGCTGCGTCTCTCCCCCCGACGTGATCGTAATGAATCTCCGTACAAGGGCCACAGGGTCCCGTCTCCCCCATCTCCCAAAAATTATCCTTCATCCCAAAGGGCAAAATTCGATTAGAATGCACCCTACAGGTGAGGGGAGAACAAGGGGAAAGATAAACCAGAGGGTCAAGGTCAGCAACACAAATTAGTGACACTTGCATCCAAGTTCCAACCACTTATCTGGTACAGTGTCACGGGGGGGGGGGGACCCCATCCCAGGCTATATCTATTAGTACTTCCTGCATTATCTGTAAAGCTTATCATTCTACATAACTGCTTGCCAAATAAACACTAAACACATAAATAAATCTATATAATTAATAAGGCAAATCACAGCCTTTTAACTACAAATTAGTTTAGGTGGAGTAGTGCAATTCAGGTGTAGCTCCATCCTTCCAGTACAGAGTGACAGTGAGTGTGGAGCCTATCCCAGAATGGCGAGGGAATAAGGCAGGGGTCACCCAGGGTGGGATACCAGTCCATCACAGGGCAAAGACTCACACACTATAACACTGTAGATCATTTAGAGACACCAGTTACCATAAACCATGTGCTTTTGGACTATGGGAAAAAAAACCCACAGACAAACAAAGAAATAAGATATACTCCACACACAGAGCAGAATCAGAAATCAAACCCACAACCACAGTGATGCGAGGGCACATACCACCATATACCACACTGCTTAGCCCTAATTGTAACTTCTTAACATAAAACAGTTTAGTCTTTAAACTCTTTAGTCTTTAAAGAGATTATGCATGTTTTAGAAATACGACTGCATGAACATTAATCTATGGGCGGTTGGTTTTCCACTGGCACCGAATGACATCACAACACGGGTATTTTGTACTAAAATCAAAAAATGGCTGTAGTGTATTATAGGGCTGGGTGATGTGCGATATTAATACCAACATCGCATGATATACACATCCAATTCTTACACCGTTAGTCAGCTATATTAAAATAAGGCTTTTTCTTATTTTCAATTCTTTATGGACATGCACAGGGGGTTAAAGTTTTGCAAAAATATTTTTACTCTGTGTGATGGACAAGCATGGATTTTTTTTTTTGACATAGTTATAACCTGTGTTTATTTTGTGGACACTTTCATTTTGATGGCGTTGTATGCAGCTGGGAAATGTAGATATTATTTGTTTTACAATGGATTTGGATGTGCCAGAAGCCTGCATTTATAATTTATAATATGGGATGCCGGTAAAAGGTGTGCAGCGGAGGTACAAGTTATTTATGTAAAACAAAAGAGGATTACCAACGAGTGCAGAGTCCCGAACACTCAGTTACCCCCCCCCCCCCTTCCCGAAGAGGCAGGCGAAACATTGTGAGCGGCTCCTTAGTAAGGCGGTGGTCACATGAACTGGAGAACAAGGCACGCCAGGCACGTGTGAGGCACGTATGGATAACTTTTGCAGCGCAGAATCTGGATTCCCCTTGGATACAATAAATTTTTTTTTGGTTGCTTGTTTTTCTCCACGGGATTCTTGGGGGATTTATTCCACGGATGGAAATTGGAGTGTTAATGTGGACATGTGGATTTTCCAAAAGGCGCACCGGCAGATGAACGGTTTGCGTGATGCTGAGAACATTCGCGAGCGCCATGTGTCAACCATGCTGCCTAAAAGGACAGTAAGACACTGCATTCGTTCATGCCAGCTATCCAGTGGGGAATAATTGTATTCTGCTGATTTTGTATGTATTTGGGGGAGTGAAACCAGTGTTAGTGACCTAGACCTAGGTGAAGTAAATCGGTATGTGATGACGATGTAACTTTGGGATCCAATTGGTTTCTTCATGTTAATGGCATCTTTAATGGCAGTCTTGGGTGCGTTTTTTTAATAATTAATTATTATTATTATTATTATTATTATTATTATTATTATTATAATAATAACGTCACACGTAATATCTTCTGATCATAGGGGAAAAAAATAATTTGGCAAGCTTTCCTATTTTAATTATTAATTCGATGCCCCTGGCAGAAACCCACGTGAACACAGGAAGAACATGCGAACTCCACACAGAAAAGTAATACCCTGACCCGGGTATTAAACCCAGGAGGCAACAGAACTAACCACTGCGCCACCATGTTGCCCTCATTTTCATCATTGCCATTTAAATCACTCAAAGACGGGTTTGTGAGAAATTTATGAACCTTTTTTGTTTTATAAATACCCCAATATTTATTACAACAAAATCACATTGATATTTATAACAAAATAACATCCCTAGGACAGCACGCTATACGCTATATGCCTGCTGTATTAGTATATTCAACAAAATACTTTTTAATTTCTTGTCATGCCATCCGGGTCTTTTTGTTGTATCTGTTCTTATGACCAAATTGATTTTTTTTGTCTTTGTTTATCATTATTTTCTGAGTTTGCAACAGCGTTTGTATTGCGTTTCAGCGGCAGGCTATTTGCATAACCAATCAACAAAGAAAACATTTCAAGTCCCTCCCCAAAGTACCGAAGTACCAAAGAAGTACCCCAGCTGGTTTGGCACTTTTTGTACTGGAACATTTTGTACTAACACTTGACTGGAAGTCAATGGAAAAGCAAAAGTACCGAAAGTACCATACTGCAAGTACTGTACATGGTGTGGTGGAAAAGCTCCCTATGATAGAGCCACAATTACCCTAAACATACCAATTATTCTGCTTAAGTACTGCATGACATCAAACAAAACAAAAAAAAAAACACACACCTGAGGAAACTCCTCAGTACAGAACCACACAAAAGGAACATGTGAAAGGGTAAGATCATGTGATGAGATCATGTGATGAGATCATGTGATGAGATCATGTGATGAGATCATGTGATGAGATCATGTGACACATACCCCATGCTTAGCCAAATCTCCCGTGTATCTCTGTCAGGCTTAAGACACAGCCTCTCGTCACCACCGAAATAGGACACGTAGAGCCGGTCTGGTGGGATGCCGTAAACCTCGGTCAGAAGCTGCCAAGCCATGGCGCAGGAGTCTTCCTGGAGGTTCACACAACAGGGCGCTCTGTAGTCTCACCACGAACAGATGAAAGAGCTCTACGATTTGACAGAATGGCTGAATATTTACAAGGGGGAGTCCAAAGAACACTGCAGTCCTACACGGTAGTCTCCTCCATGCCCTTTTGGCCACTTCTCTACAGCTGATTTGTCGCATTACTATGGCGACCACAGCATGTCAGACTGCCTAACCTTAAAGTAGTCGCCGAAGGACCAGTTTCCCAGCATCTCAAAGAAGGTGTGGTGGTAGACATCCCGGCCGACGTCGTCCAGGTCATTGTGTTTGCCTCCGGCACGGACACACTTCTGGCTGTTCACCACTCGCCGGTACCGCGCCATCTCAGTGTGGGGATCCACCGAGCCCAGGAAGATGGGCTTGAACTGGAAAGGGGGGGGTCACAGGATCAAGCCACCCGCTGCCACTTGCTGAACAGGCCTCACCAAATGCTGCCCTGAGCTAAAACCCCAATGGGGCATCAGTATTCACCTCAGACGATTAGGCCTCTGTGCTTGTGATCAGAAGATTGCCGGTTTGAATCCCATGAGGTACCTTTCTCATGCGACTGAATTAGAATTTAGAATTAAGTGATCAGTGGTCATTGTCAACACACCACAGCACACAGTGCGCAACAACGAAATGTGACCTCTGCATTTGACCCATATGTGACTTTCATGACATAGCAGGGGGCAGCTAATTCAGCGCCCGGGGAGCAGTGCTTGGGGACGGTACCTTGCTCAGGGTACCTCAGTGGTGACTTGCTGGTGGGGGATTCGAACCTGCAATCTTTCAATTACAAGTGCGCTACCCTAACCATCAAGCCACCACTGCTCATAAAACAGCCTGCGTTGGCCGGGAAAGATTCCAACCATCTAAGTCATTAAGGGTAACTTTTGGGAAACATACCCTGTATGGTTGTAATAGTAGCTGCATCTCTATTTGGCTCATGAACATGGTCATTAACCTCGAAGAATGCTCCAGTGGTCCTGGGTAAATGGCCTGATTGTGCACCATAGCACAGGCTTTGCTCTCTCACCTGTATGTGTGTTTGTCTTAAAAAGGAGAACAAGATGGGATATGCAGAAACTAGATAATTCCAAAATACCTGTACTTATACTTGAACAAATGGTAAATAAAGCATAATTTCATTTTCATTTCCCGTTAATAGTTAAATAACTAATAAAACAATTAATGTACCACATATTTAAGCCAACAAAGCACATTTCTAATTTTTTTACATTTAAGAAAAAACTTTAAAAAGCTTTTTTTTCCTAAATATTTGTTCAAATTTGTAATATTATACATTACATCAATATTTATATGTAAAAAGCATGACAGACTGGTGACAGAGGCCCACTCTTGCCTTTCTGCTGGACGCTTCAAGTTTCTGCTGCATCCCTCTCACAGGCTATTTGCTGCACTATTGAACATACCTGAACCGTCAACTGACCTCATCTATGCACTTTGCACATCAGTCTATATGCTGCTACAGTGCTACATGCACAAAGCACACCAATGTTACAGGTACTGTATACTATAGTGAAATGATACTGACCGTACACACACAAAATGCACACATAATTACATCGTATTATGCTTGTATTTGCCCTTCACTCTAGCCGTTGAATGCAACATTTGCACAACTCCTGAATGTTAAAATAACCTCAGTACTTAATTGTACATTTTTCTTAAATTCTTGTGGAGAGTATTTATTACAATTATTTACACATTTCTTACTATTTCTCTGTGCCTTTTTTTATTATTTGAAACTGTATAAACTGCAGCCATGTCATCTTGCCTCATACATGTATACAGCTGAGATGACAATAAAGTTGACTTTATGTTGCTTCTGGGAGGAGTTTTTACAGCCTAAAAGCCAGGACAGTGAAGCTTAAAAAACATTTTCTTCCTCAGACTATTGGACTGCTGAGCAGTCTGGCTACTCCCAGCCTATGACTGGGTCTGTTAAAGGGACTGAGAACACTGGAATTATAACTCTGAATCTAAATCTATTTCTTTTACATTCTGCTCCATGCCAAACTTCCTACAAAACTTGTACAATCGTTCCCCACCAATCAGGTAGTTAACGGTACCTCTTTGCCTTAATGTCCATCTCTGAAAATGTCATGTTTAGATTATATGTCCCAGTATTTATATTCAACTCAGTGTATGACTCCACAAATCATGTTTCTGAAGCGGATAATAAGATACTTTAACTTGACTTTTTACACCCCTATTAAGCACACACAGGATATACAGTATAACAGTGATACAGTGTTTTAAACTGAGTAAATATAGGAAATGACCGTTACATGAAATAATTAAGCAAGCTGAATGTGTGTACTGCTTTCATTTCTTTATGAACGACTTTTGTGAATGATTAAAAAAAAAAACTTTTAAAATGCCAGAAAATAAAGATAAAACATAACAAAAACATGAGAAATTTAGACTGCAACGTTAGAGCGAAGCAAACACTTTAACAGGGGATCAAATCGAATGCTTAGAGCTTCGACGTGATTTTAAACAACACTCCTTAATTCCCCATTTTGTTTGACTTGCGAAACAGTTGACATGCTTTCTGACAACGCCAAAGAGATCAGTCTTGATATGCCTTTCTAACATGCTCCAGGCGTACAGTTTAGCAACTCCAATACCGCTAACACAAAACAGTCCGACTCCGACAACAAAACTGCAGGACAACTCCCGGCCACATAAGCAGAGAGCCGAGACCAACCTGGTTCATGCCGGCATTGACGAACAGCAGGCTTGGGTCTCCCCGCGGGCGCACGGGGGAGGACGAAACGACCCTGTGCTGATGTCGATCCTTAAAGAAATCTATAAACATACGCCGCACATCCTTCGATGTAAGTACACTGTTCTTCTGTGTGGTTGAAAATAATCTATATCCGTTCGTACATGTTATCGTAGAGATACATTTACGTGAGATTCTTAAAGGCACGACAGCGGCCATATTTACAGTAGAAGGGCAGGAGCTGGTAAGGGGTGAAAGTTGAGATTTTCCTGCATCCAATCAAGCTTAAATGTTAAAGATCGTCGTGTTCTGATTGGATATATCTGTAAATAATACCCGCCCTAATGGACGGAGTGGCGTTCTGACCAATAACGTGCCCCAAAAGAAGAAGCGTAAGATAACAAAACAAAAGGCACGTGTCGCGTTTGAATCATGGCGGGAGTGTACGTGGAACTAAAACGGGTTTGGGATATGCCGGATGTACTTTTTTTTTTGCTATTTATATAATACAGGGTATGCCGAACACATTGGCAAAGCAACAGTATATATCGGTCTGTCTGTAAAGTATGCTTAGAATTCAAAATGCTGCTGAATATTTTTGGTGTTCTCCCCGGACATAAACTTCGGAGGATAATTAAAGGAGAGCTCCATCAAATTGCAGTGGCCTGTACTACGAAGGGGGTTTAACCAAATCAGATTTAACCCGGAGTTAATTTGCGAAGGCTAGGTTGACAAAATCGGGTTCGGTTGATACTTGGCAGATGAAATTTAACACAGATAAATGTAAGG